CGCACTCTAACCACTGCGCCACCTCGGCTCTAGACCTCGGTTGTGGTCTCCTAGCGGCCAGCAGAGCTGCCAGCAGATTCGGACAGTGAGGAGGTTGGGGAGGAAGATGGGCCAGTCCTGGAGTCTGGGGAAGACTCTGATGAGGGCTCTGTGTCGGAGGAAGAGATGGGGCCAGGGCCGTCTGACAATTATCAGCTGCCTTCGCAGTCAGACATCAGTGAGGCAGAAGAACAGCTGGAGCCTGTTCCCAGTGTGCGCATGCGCAGAGTTGCCAGATGAAGGGAACAGCTAAAGAACAGGAATCGACTTGGGAGTAAGGCCACAGGTGGACGATGAATGTCCCCCTCCCAGAGGAAATAAAAGAGGAGCGAAAGGGGAGTGGAGTTTGCAGGAGACAGTTAGTTTGCTTAATTGGTTCCTGACTCTCTGAGACTCCTTGCCAAGTTCTGCAGATATCACCCTGTCAGCTCTCCAAGCCAGATAAGGTCTGTGACTGTAAATCCTCCCTTGAAAGACTTTGATGGACGTGAATGAGCAGGATTCACAGCAAATTAATAAAAGGGTTTTTTGTCGGAGCAAGGAGTTTGCTTCATGCTCTCGGGGAAGCCTGGGTCAGAATAAGAAGCCAACAGGAGGTTGAAAATGTCAGTAGTGTGACTGTGAATGATGATTCATGGGAATGATCTTGAGGCACGAGGGGAGGGGATTCTATTTAGCGAATGATCAGACAAGAAGGGGCTTAATGGTCAGGAAAATAAAGTTAGGGAGGACCCATCCTAATGGATATTTTCAGACTTGCAAAATTGATGCCAGTCCTTCCAGGTAAGCCAGACCAGGAAATGTGAGCTAGTTCTACTTAATTGTAAGGTTACATTGCTATATTACTCTTGCAATTATAAACCTCCCGCTGTCACTTTTAGCAGCCTGCTCAATTAGGGCGAGGACTGCCTAAGTTTCTTTCCCTGACCATTAAGCAACTGAGGGCTCCCCCCTCTTTTATCTGATTGTTTCCTAGACAGCATCTCTTCCCCTCCTCCCTCAAGGCCATATCCCATGGGACGCTGGCTCTGTATGGGATTTACCTAACAACAGCACTGGGAGTGCCAGAATTGCCACCATAAGTCGGCATGGTAACATGATATCATGCTTTATGATTGCATTGCTTAGCAATGGAGTTCCTGGTTCCAATTACTGTTGGTCACTAAGGACTGCTTGCATACATTTATTTTAATTAATTATATTAATTAATTCTCACGGGCACCGTGTTGTCTAATATTAAACCCAGGTGGCCGAGTGCCAATGGAACAAAGATGTGAAAAAGAGAAATAATAGCTGCAATTGGATCACTGTTACAAACATATGCCAGGCATTGTTAAGACTTCAGGTGCAAGAGAGCCCATCCACCACAGCCAGCCATTGGCAGCAGGTGTTTATGTCTCAGAAGAATCATACACTTCACATTTTCTGCACAAAAGGGAAATTTCAGGCACTCTATTTACACCAGAGATAGCCATCCCCGGGTTTAAAAATCACCCTCCCTGCAAAAGGGAAGAATAAGGGAAAGGAACCATCATTCTGATCCTGTATGATGGTAAGTTGGGACAGTTGTAAAATGGGTCGGTCCCATGTCTGATCCGATTTCATGGTCTTTTTTGCAGTGGTTGCTAAGCGAATCAATTATGGTGGGCGTGGTTTTGTTGAAAGCAAGTGCTGGTTTACGACAAAACCGTCATCAAAGGCAGTCACATGACCACGGGACGCTGCAAACCGCCGTAAAAGTGGCCGTGTTGCCAAGGGTTTGAAATTGTCATGTGACCGTGTGTGTGTGTGTGTGTGTGTGTGTGTCATTCTCAGAACTTTGAATTCCGGTTGTACAGCAAGTAGCCCAAAGTAGGTCTATCATAACTTTGATCGAATGGTTATAAATCAAGGCCCACCTGTACTGGATTTTGACCTGCCCCCATAGGCACCTGTCCTATGCTACTTTTGGGTGGCTTGCCTTGCACCCTGACTCTGAACCTCTGCCACCGAGATTGGGCCCCTAGTTCCATGCCCCCACCCCCAGGCCCCAGACAGGTGCACAGGATACGCAGAATCTTACCTTTAATTTCCTCCTTGCATTAAACTCTTGTAGTTTCTTCTGGGTGCTGTCCATGTGAGCAAATTTAGCAGTTTTGCCCGTCACCCAAGGGTGCTCTAGGGCTTGAAGAACTGTTAGCCTCTTCTGGGGATCCAGGACAATCAGCTTTTGCACCTACAAAGGCCAGAGGGAGATCTACTGTGACAACTCCAGTGTCATATCATGTGGGACCTACCTAGAGTAGCCCCATGGTGAGATAGGCGGCAAATACATTTAACAAATGATAACGGATGCAAATATCCTTTACGGCATAGTTCCAGGAACCATCTCACCCCATTGGACTGTCCTGTCCCACTTGCTCCAGAGGAAGAGACTTGCTACAGAGCCCTTCTGTCAAGGGGCTGTAGTTCCCACCTCTGATGTAGATCATTATTTACATATTGTCCCCAACAATCAGGATCCTCATTTTACTGGCTTTGGAAAGATGGAAGGCTGAATCTGTCAGGTTTCCGAAAGTTGCCCCAAATTAATTCATGAGCCTCGAGCCAAGTTTCAAAAGAAATCCAGTCATTTATTAGGAACACTATTTCCGCAATACCCCTTTGCAGTGAGATCTAACCTCATTTTTATTATGGCTGAACTCTGCCCCTGTTTTTTCCCTCCCCTCAGTCTGTGTCATAAATCACATTCTCCAATGAGGTGCATGCCTCACAAGCCTGCTATAGTAATCTGAGATCCGACTCTAGCTGAAAGTATGCATGGAATGAGCTCCCCCCCCCCTTTCCTCACCATGGCAACTTTATGAGTTGACATAGTCAACTTTGAGCCCCATTAGGATCGAACTCCAGATTATGGGCAGAGTTGGCCTGCAATACTGCACACTTTAACCACTGTGCCACCAGAGCTCCTTAATGGATGCCAGAACAAGCAGATGCAGACGGGCCAATCATCCGCCAGGGCAGTGCTCAAAATACAGGAACTCACCAGGTCCTTGGCATTGAGGGACACTTCATCCCACCAAGGGGAGACAAACTCGTAGTCACAATTTAGGATTCGGCTGTACATATACTGATCTCCTCTTGGGTCAAAGAAGGGTTCAAAGCCACATAGCCTAGGGAAAAAAATGGAAGAAACAGATGCCTATAATTTGGGGATTTATTTATTTACATTCTGCCTTGATTATTTTTACAAATAAGGTGGTGACCATATCCAACGCGCCTTCCTCTTCCTATTTTCTCCAGCACAACAACCCTGGGAGGTGGGTTAGGTTGAGAGAAAGTGATTGGCTCAAAGTCATCCCGCCGGCTTTCATGCCTAAAACGGGACTAGAACTCAAAAGGCTCCTGGTGACCACTGGCCTCATTTATGGTCATAAGTCGAGCATTACCTGAAATTGGTTACCTGGGGGTTTAGCTATCTTTCTTTTTTTCTTCTTCTTCTTCTTGATGTATTTCATTTTCTTTTGCTTTTTATTTGTTAGTCATGCTGAGTTGCTACTGAGTCAGGCAGCCTTAAAACTGAATCAATCAATCAATTAATGTGGGAGGGGCTTAATTAGCTGGGTTTTCCTTTCCGCCTTTCTGTTCACTGCTTCCTTCTCACACCTCATCACTGAGGCACTGTAAGGCCTGCATTTACGTTGCAAAGTAAAACTAAGACTTTTTTTAGCATACCCTGCCCTAAATATACCGTGGCACGACAAAACCGCGGTCCACTAAAGCGCCCCCAATTAAAGTGCGTCGCTGACGTCATCAGCAGTGCGACAACAGCGACCGCGGAGAAAAAAGAGCGCTTTGAAAGCAAGCCGATTCAAGTTAAGGTAAGGGTTAGGTTTACGTTTAGGTTTAGGGTTAGGGTTAGGGTTAGGTTAAGGGTTAGGGTTAGGTTTAGCGTTAGGTTAAGGGTTAGGATTAGGTTTAGCGTTAGGTTAAGGGTTAGGTTTAGGGTTAGATTTAGGGTTAGGTTTAGGGTTAGGTTAAGGGTTAGGGTTAGGTTTAGGGTTAGCGTTAGGCTTAGGGTTAGGTTTAGGGTTAGGTTAAGGGTTAGGTTAGGGTTAGGTTTAGGGTTAGGTTAAGGGTTAGGTTTAGGTTTAGCGTTAGGTTAAGGGTTAGGTTTAGGGTTAGATTTAGGGTTAGGTTTAGGGTTAGGTTAAGGGTTAGGTTAAGGTTTAGCGTTAGGTTAAGGGTTAGGTTTAGGG